GGTGTGGGGCTTTGCATTTGACATTCTTTGGGCTTTCCTATGCGAGAGCCCGCGTCCCATACTTCTTTGCAATAAACCCCTCTGTCCAAAGCAAAAGATTAACTTTAAACAAATTGATTTGATCATATTGGTACGGCTTTATCCCATTATTATTGCCTATCTAATGCTATCATTGGTATCTTAACATTATCACCAAACATCCCATTATAGATGGGATTTGTTGCTTACAAAAGTTCTTTTTGTGTTTATGACAGCCAGCTAGAAAGTTAGGCAAAGAAAAGTTGGCAAGAGCAATTTAAATTTAGTTTCCCCTCCTATCAAATATACTATTACTGTTGAGTTCCACATTGTTGTTTTTGGTTATTTTGTATGACATCCTCTTATTTATCTAAGTTACCATATAAATTAACAGCGCATTCAAACTACATATGGACACTACCATGTTTTTTTTCCCTGATTAAACGTTGTTTTAAGCATTGACCACAGTCCTACCCTGTCCGGTTACTACTGTAGTAACTTACTAGTAGACGTCACCCGCTCACTGCAGGATCCTTTCCCCTAATAAAGTAATGCCAACCGAATCAGGGGCATGTCACAAATTGGAGTCCCTAATAAATCCTCAAGAAAAGAAGGGAGCGAACTTGTACTAGTCTCCAAACATCAGTCAAGCTCATCATGTAGTAAGTAGTAGTAATAGTAGTACAACCTACATAATTGACTATATTTTGTTGAATGTCCATACACGTGTAGTAGTATTACTATTATGTTGTTGATTGCTTGATTACTAGTTGCTTACAACTTCCTCCACTGATCCAATCCAATCACCCAAAAAAAAAACAGAAAAAAGAAAGACCAGAGAGCATGCAGAGCAGAGGACACGGCCGCTCAACCCGCGGAACAAGCCAAGGCCTAGCTCGGTGTTCCGTTTCCAAGGATGAGAAATATCTCTGTGTGAATGGTTCCAACTGCATGCCACACCCACAAACCACAACACACAAATGCAAGCGGCCGAGCGCCGCAAACGCAAGGCCCAACCGCGACGCCCGCCGCGGTCGAACGATACCACGACGTGTGCGCTCCAGCTCGATCGCGACCAGATCACCAGACCAGCCAGCCAACGGAAAGGCTTGTGTACCGGTACACCTTGCTTACGCATGAGTTCACAAAACCATACGATTATTACGTCATACGATTATTACGTGGTTATCATAGTTATAACGTGTGGTAATTATCCCAATTTTTAAAACCATAACAATTTCGATGGTAACCGTATAGTTTTCACGGTAACCATTTTACCATGGATAATAGTAACCACATCCAAAATGGCTTGGTGAAATCCTTCTACGACACGTGAGAGTAATAAGAGTTTAATGTGTTAAGTCAGTGTCAACCACGGCAGGCAGAAACAATAAGTACGAAACGCACACCTGGCCTTGGCTTTGCAGCATAATTGGCACTGGCAATTAAAATCGGCGGAACCGCGCCGCGTCACATACGTGTCACCCTGATCTCGTGTCACTTTCGCCAGGTTTAATTCGTCCAGTTTTCGGTTCTCTCTCGCATCCCTGCTCTGGTAACCAAAAAAAAAAAATCTGTTCAAATCTGGTACTACTACTAAAGCCGAGAAAAAGGGGTTAGATTAATTGCGACTGTGGCAAAATTTGCCAAGTATATATACATTTTTATTTCGTGTAGTGCAATGTTGTGTGCGAGAAGAGAAGAGATGTGAAATCGTGAAGAGGGTTCAGCGCTTGCATCTTTGATACGACAAGAGTTCCCCGAGTTAATGCCCGAATTGCCGTGCACATTTCTAGCTAGCCGAGTTTATCAAGATTTCGGTAGCTGACGCGGCGACGTGTTTGCGCACAAATTAAATCAGGCGATGGATCGACCAGAGAAGCGTCATGGACGCATGGCCACCAGCCCAAGCCTGATGACATCGGCGTCAACAAAAGAAATACTCCCTCCGTCTCAAAAAAAAAAAAAGATAAACCATATTTTTTGTCTAACATTTGACCGTCCGTTTTATTTAAAAAAAATATAAAAAAAAATTAAAAAGACAAGTTACGCATAAAGTATTAATCATGTTTTATCATCTAACAACAATGAAAATACTAATTATAAAAAAAATTTATATAAGACGGACAATCAAACGTTGGATATGAAAATCAGGGTTTGTTTTTTTAGGAATATATAGAATATATATTGATTGATTGGGCAATCAGATGACAGGAGTTTCGTTTTGTCAGTGCCTCCCTTTGGGCAGTGCGCACGTATGTGTTGTCTGTTAACCTTTGATGCAACAAACTCTGGGGCGTACGTCTGCAAACCGCAGCAACTAGAGGCCGTGAGATCTGGCAGCTACTAGCAGTTGGATGTGGTGTGAGTGTGACGATCGACGGCCAACTGACGAAGAGCCTTCCTTTTATGGGTTTCGCTTTTGCATAACTGCATTTGCTGCCTTTGTCGTTCTAGATAGCCAAGGCACGTTTGCCATCTGGTCATACACTCATACTTAACTTAGTTTGCCCAACTTTGTAGAAATCGGGAAATTCATGCTTCAAAAGATAACACACTGCAGTAATTAAACCCGGGCTCCATGAAACGGCCACAGGATTTCGCATGCAAGTACGTCACTCATTTAGTAAAACTCGAAAAAGAAAAAAAGGTTTCTAAAAAATATACATTTGAAAGTTTTTCACTTAAAAAATATACATTTGAAAGTTTTTCACTTAAAAAACACTACATTTGTAACTACAACATAATTATGGTATAACTACATTTGTAACAAGCATGTAACTAGATATAACTATACTGCAACTAGCATGTAATTACACAAATCTACAGTCAACATGTGTTGGTGTGGCTGGCTAGCTTGGCTGGCTTGTGATTGGAGCTCTCAGGTTAAAACCCCAGCAAACGCGTGTCAATATTTTTTTTCTCTCCCCTCACTACTAGAAAAAGCATTTTCCCTAACGTTGGGGTCTTATTTTCACAGTCGGACACGATTTTTTGGAGCCAAATGACCGCCTACAAAAATATAAATTGGGGTGATGTTCGCTGTTTTCGCAGACGGACCACTTAAGCAGATCATTTTCGCAGGCGCCGCTTAAGTGGTGCGCCTGCGAAAATAGACTTAATATAAATAAACAGGCGGGCCTAAATTTTTTCTAAGTCCCTCACCTCTTCTCCTCTCCCCTCCCCTCTCCCCGGCCGTCGGCCGGAGGCGGCAGCGGCTCCCGGCGGTGCGGCGGCGTGTGCTCTCGGCGGCGGCGGCGGGCGGTGGCGGAGGAGGCGAGGCGGCGCGGCCGAGGAGGGCGACGAAGGAGGGCGGCGCGGTGACGTGTGCTCCCGGCGACGGCGGAGGGCGGTAGCGGCGGGCGAGGGCGGCGGAGGACAGCAGCGGCGAGGAGGCGCGGCCTAGGAGGGCAGCGCGGCCGAAGTATGGGCGACGGCGTCGGCTCCCCTCCCCCCTCCCTCCCAGATCTGGCCAGAGGAGGGAGGGGGGAGGCCGGCGGCGATGGCAACGGCGTGGAGTGGTGGCAGCGTGAGCCGGCCGGCGGTGGCGGCTCCCCTCCCCCCTCCCTCCTAGATCTGGCCGGAGGAGGGAGGGGGGAGGCCGGCGGCGGCGGCAACGACACAGGCCGAGCGGCGGCGGCGGCTCCCCTCCCCCTCCCTCCCTCCCAGATTTGGCCGGAGGAGGGAGGGGGGAGGCTGGCGGCGGTGGCAACGGCGTGGAGTGGCGACGGTGCGGTCCGGACGGCGGCGGCGGCTCCCTTCCCCCCTCCCTCCCAGATCTGGTCGGAGGAGGGAGGGGGGAGGCCGCCAGCGGCGGCGGCTCCCGGCGCGATTTTTTTTGTTCGTTCCTTCCATTTTTGCAGGCGGGCCGTTGCCCCGACTGCGAAAATCATCAATTTGGCAGGCGGACCTCTCTCTCGCCTAAAAAATGAGTTTTAGCCGCCTGCGAAAATGTTTTTTCTAGTAGTGCCTCACATGCACGAAACTCCTAGCACATCCGACGATCGAAAATCTAAAAGGTTTTTGGGACAAAAACTGGCGCACGTTCTCTTTCCTCACATGCATGGATCTCCTAGCAAATATGACCGTCGAAAATCTGAAAGTTTTTTTTGACAAAAACTGGCGAACGTTCTACAGTAATTCCGTTGAGGAGGAAAGAAGAATTGCAAAGAGAGGATGCGTGCGAGTTGGGCCTGGGTCATCGACCCATTGCCGCGGACCAAGAGAGAGAGAGAGTGATCTGAGATGGAGAACTGAGTGAAGAAGTTATGGGTTAAGGGATGAGAGACACAGAGATATGGGTTAAGGGATTATTAAGACTGACATATGGGACCAACATGTTTTACTATTTTTTATTGACATATGGGTTCATTAAGTTTTTGTTTTATTTTTTAACCGATACATGAGTGCCACGTAGACGCCAAATGGCACGAGACCTAGTCAACGTGTCACGTGGATGTCACGTAGGACAAAACCACCGGTCAAACCGCTGAGGGACTCAATTTGCACCGGTTTTTGAAGATGGGGGAAGTGTTATACCCGGTATTGCAGTTGAGGGAGACGATTCAATCAAGAGCAAGAATAGAGGGATGTAAAATAGACTTATTCCACGTCAAAAGGATCACACGGGCCTAAATGGAAGCCCACAATCTTAAAATATTATGGGCCTAAACTTTAGACTAAAATCCAGGTCCTTCCATATATGGGCCAAAACCATCCGGCCCATCAAGCGACAGTAGCAAGCAGCTCGCTCAATCGCTTCTTGCAAGACAAGCTACCTCTTCTGCCCCCGGATCTCCGCGGCTTCCAGAAGCAAATCGAATCAAACCAACTTTGTTTCCCAGCATTTAAAGCATCGTCTTCCTCGTCGAGTCGTCGTCTCCCCGCCGTCTCGTGCCCCCATTCGCCGCAGAAATCCCTAGCCTCCACGATCCGAAGAATCCCTAACCACTCCACGATCGATCCCCTCCCTTCTCCCATCAATGGCTGATCAGCTTCGGCGGCGATGGGCGGCGGCGGACGACGGTGTCCTGTACGAGGTCGCCCGCCGCATCCCGTGCGAGATCGATCGCCGCCACATGGGTCGCGTATGCAACTCCTGGCGCGTGGCGCTCGTGAAGCTCAAGGCCCCGGCGCCGCCGCCTCCGCTCCCGTGGCTCGCCCTCCCTGAGTCCGACGATGGGCTGCCCGCCACCGTCTCCTGCGTCCTCAGCGGCTGCCGCACCCACGCCTTCTCCGTCCTTCAAGGAGCACGCGGCGCGCGCTACTTCGGTTCGTACGATGGCGGATGGCTCTTCCTCGCCGTCGGCGGCCAAGCTCAATGCCAAGCCCTCCTCAACCTCAAGATCAACGGCTTTCAGACCCTCGACCTCCCCAACCTGGCGCCCGTCAACTCAGTGAATCCGAACCGTGACCGTGAGATGGCCATCGTCGCCGCCACCCTCTCGTGCCAGCCAACTGAACAAGGATGCATCGTCGCCGGCATCATCGAATCATCTCCCAACCTCGTCGCCGTTGGCCATGTCACCCGGAGCATTGCGTTCTGGCGGATGGGCGATCAGGTGGTCTTACCTGTTTTGTGGGCACTGGAGGAGGACAACCCATTGATGCGGCTGGAAGAAGTGGAGGACCTCCTATGCCACCATGGAGCCTTCCATTTCCTCACCCGAGCGGAAGACGTCCTTGCGTGCGAAGAACCACCGGTCTTCTACAGAGATTCCGTGAGTCTGGTCCCGGCAAACATGTTCTTCCTGCCGCGCGTCCACGACGAGAACGAGACTGTTCTTGCTCGCTACCTCGTGGGGTCCGGCAAGAAGCTGCTCATGGTGGTCAGGCTAGCTAGTGGCCGGGGTCAGCGCACGACGTCGGCGTTCCGGGTGTTCCAGAAGAAAAAGTTCAACACCGGCGAAGAAGACGAGCCGTCCCAGAATCGCTCTGCTCATTTTGAGTACTACTGGAGCGAGCTGGACGAGCTCGATGGCCGGATGCTGTTCGTCGGACTAGGCTGCTCCAGATCCTACAAGGCGGGTGATGGCAGGTACCCCGGCATGGAGGAGGGCGTCTACTTCTTGGATGATCCGAGCATCCACCAGATGATCATCGGTGATGCACCCAAACCGCCGTACCTCTGCAGTGACAACGGTAAATGGTCGAGAGCACCAACTGATCCCCAGGGCCAGGTCGAGCGCTGCTTCCCGGAGCGAGGCCCATCGATCCACTCGCCTCCGGTTTGGATTCTCCCTTGAGTTGAGATCGACGACAGGTTTGGTTTTCGATCGGCAAACGTTGCGCGATATATCAACAAGGTCAAGTTAATTAGTTCCATGCCTTGATCTAGCTACATTGTGTCGTTTGCTTCTTGTTGCTGATGAGTTCAATGGTGTTGTCATGTTGAAACTGTTGCTGATTAGTACTAGCTAGCGTTTGTTTGTGGTGTAACCATGTAAGCAGTAAGATGAACAGGATTCATTTAGTGCAGGAATGCTACAGATGATACTTGCTGTTTGTTCAGTACCATTCTTCATTGCGTTTCAGTGCATTCAGCTACACTCTGTCCTGTTCAATTCGCAATTCCGTTTCAAGATTATGTTTCCGATTACTCCAGTAGATAGACTGAATGGCCTGCATTTGTTTGTGGTGTAAGTTAGTGATGAAGCAGGAATGCTGCAAAATGATACCACCTGCTGTTGGTTCAGTGCTATTATTTCTTCATGTGATGTGGGTGTGACTCGGTGCATTCAACTACACTTTACTCTCTTCAACTTGCATTTCAGTTCAAGCTTCTTTAAATTGTACTGAATTTTTAATCTGCATCTCAACTCTGTGGAATATTATAGATGCGACAATCTGTGATACCTGCAGATTGTACTGCTTCTTTATGATAACTACTTGCTGGCATTATGATCATATTACACTGCTAATAATCTACACTACTGAAATTAGCTTGTACTATACATTATTTAGTCCTGTAACATGTGCCCAATGAAGCAAAGTGTGTGTGAAGAGGTTGAAATCTCAAGATTAATGCAGTTATTATACCATGTTATTGACCTTGTTCCGCTTCCACGGTTGCTGTATATTGTACTTCAGAGACTGATTAATTAGTCTTCACTTCAACGGTTAGATGAAAAAAAGACTACAGGTTTCCTTTTCCAACAAAAATCACTAGCAACAAACCATCAATAATCATCGATGTGTTAAAACTGTTAATCGATTGCTGCACACAATTTGCTACCTTAGCAAGATGTTAGCATGAGAGAGAGAATCGTGTCCTCTGCTCCGTTTAAATTAAGTGAACTTGCATAGTTACATGCAGTGCCGTCCTTTGACGTCTTGCCCATCCCCGTCGCCAGCGCTTTCTAGTTAGCGTGTTTGGTCGTCGCACGGTTATCACGAGAATAGGCTTAAGTCCTTGTTTTCAGCGCTTTCTAGTTAGCGTGTTTGGTCGTCGCACGGTTATCACGAGAATAGGCTTAAGTCCTTGTTTTCCCTTTTTTTTCTCCTCGCTCCCCCCATTCCCTCCCTCTCTTCTTTGTTTGCCGTTTGTGTAAATTTTATTCCTCTTAAGGCCATGTACAACGCGTGACCCTAGCCTGTCGTCTCAAAACTCCACGTCGGAGCCGAGCCGAGCTGGCACGCGTTTGGGTGGTTTCGCAGCCTGTCAGCGAGCTTGTAGAGGAACCAGGGCAAGCGCCGCGCCTGGGCTCGGGAGGCACGAAGCCACAAGCCGAAGTCTCACGTTGGAGGAGTCGGAGCTCCGCGCCGTTGCCTCGTCCGGTCCCCCCGTGCCGTGGTCGTCGTCGCCTCGCCAGATCCACCACAGCCGCCGTGGTCATCGTCGGATCCAGCGAGCCCGCCGCCGCCAAGCTCGCCACGCCGTCGGCGAGCTCATCTGCGCCGTCGTGGGGGGAAGAAGACGGCGACGTCGAGGGACAGCCACCGCGTTGTGGCCGCCACCGCCCGATCCGGCGAGCCCGCCGCCGCCAAGCTCGCCACGGATCCGGCAAGCTCGTCCGCTGCCAAGCTCGCCACGCCGTCGGCGAGATCGTCCGCGCCGTCGTGGGGGAGGAGGACGGCGACATCGAGCCATCCGCCCTCACCGCTGCTCCCCGCCGCCGCCAGATCCGGCGAGTCCACGTCCGGATCCGGCGAGCCCGCCGCTGCCAAGCTCGCCACGCTGTAGGCGAGCTTGTCCGCCGCCAAGCTCGCCACGCCGTCGGCGAGATCGTCCGCGCCGTTGTAGGGGAGGAGGACGGCGGCGTCGAGCCATCCGCCCTCACCGCTGCTCCCCGCCGCCGCCAGATCCGCCGCTGCCGCCACCGCTACTCCCCGCCTTCGCTAGATCCGCCGTCGCCAGAGCTCGGGCGGCACCGATCTGCCGCCGGAGGCAGAGAGAAAAGAGAGGGCGACGAGGGGAGGGGAGAGGAGAAGAGAACCGAGCAACGCTGTCGGTGGAGAAGAAATCGAAGAGAGAGAGAGGGAGGGAATAAAAAAGAGAGGGGATGGGAAGAGGCTGACAGTGGGTCCCAAGTTGTTTAGGGGTGCACATATACTTCTTTTGGTTACTATAGGGTTCAAAATATAAAGTTTCAATAGGTTTGATAATACAAGGGCTGACATATAAATAGATAGGGGCTGACATGCAAAATTTGTTTTGGAGTGGCTTCCACTGTGGGTAGTGTGACTTTTGTGTAGTTCTATCCTAAGTGGCGTCTTGAGACCACAGTTGCGTGTGGCTACCATTGTACATGTCCTAATACAAAAGTGCACAATTCTTTTACGTATTCCAAAGAAAGTTACCTGCAGTCAAATTTTGCTCATTAACATCTAGCACACTACTGTCCCTCTGCTTGAATGATTTTATACTAGTACTAGAGTAATGCTGCACATACTATTCTTTTTTTACAAAACTCTTACAAATAAAGATCATAACCATTTGATCGAGTCAATTGGTAGTTATTAGAAGTCAAGATGCAATCAGGGTTTGCCATATCAGCTTTTTAAAGAGTTTGTAAGAATTTGTGTTGCATGTGAAACATTTTAATTTATGCTGCGAGCACCTTATATGTGCTCCTAATATTGTCATCACACTGCACCTTACCAGCAATCGGATTATCTTTAAGCAGGTCGGATTAGAGACCGGGACACGCTAAGCATCCAATGGGCCTGTCAGGAAGCCGACGATCTTAGCGTATCATGGGCCCAGAATTTCCACTAAAATCCAGGCCATTTTACATAGGAATTAGTCCACTTTGACTCCCTTAAAGTGGCTTGAATCTAGTCCATAACCCTGGACCGCAAAACTGGATATCTTGACCTCCTAACTATTGAAACCGGTGTAATTTGACTACCTCAGCGGTTTTAGAGGGCGGTTTTGTCAGTGTTGACTTGGTCTTCGTTCCACATGACGTTTATGTGGCATTAGAAGTTAAAAAAATATGTGGGACCCATTTATTATTCACAGCCAAAAACAATTGTGGGATCCGTATGCCATTCTCCCTTTCCTTCCCTTGTTCCCCCTCCCTCTCTTCCTTATCTCTCCCTTACCGTTCGTGCGCCACTGGTTCGACGGCCGCTTGATGGTGCGGTCTCCCTGAAGATGGCTCTCCACCGCACCCACTGCGCCCTTCGTAGTCCACTTCATCCAATAAGAATGTCGAGCGGGATGTCATCCTCCTAGATGCCTTATGAGTGATTAAGTTATAGGTGGGTGGCGACGGTGAGTGGCCCATGGCTAGCGGTGAGCACAGAGGAGGCCAAGCACTCAGTGTGTCTAGAAGCAATAGAGAGGGGTCAATGCCATGGCGGGCGAGTGGCCCTGGCCGGTGGCTAGAGGCGAGCATGGAGAGTGAGCACTCGGTGTGGCGTGGGGAGGAGAGGGAACTCGATGTGGCGAGAGCGTGAAGAGACATCGAAAACGTCAACATCACGAAGTAGAGAGCACTGCGCCTGAGAGTGCGACGAGAGGGAGGTTTATTTTGGGTGTAGCAGGAGGAAATGTTGAGGGGCCCGTGGAGGGGACGACGATGTCTACGATAGTGAGGCTGGGAGCATGGGGAGACATGCACGGTGCTTAACACCGATAATGGGGAAGATGAGCGGCCTGCGAGTGGAGAGAGGGAAGTGGTGGAAGAAGAAGTTTAGAGGTAGTCACTTAGATGTGGGTTTAACGTCTAATTTTTAAATTCTTTAATGACTGAACTATCACATGAATCCCAAGTCAACCAAACCAGTCTTAAAATAGTTGAGGGGGTTATTTTACACTGATTTTAATACATTGGGGAGGTGATGTACCTGGTTTCATGGCTGAGGATGCATAGTAAATTTGATCAATAGTTCAGAGTTGAATTTACATTTTGCTTTTGAAAAAGAATTTTTTTTTTGACTAAGTACAATTGACGGAGCGTGGGGCTCCTCACCGGGAGACCGCGCAGGCCCCCCTTTGCCGGTTCGGCCGGGGGCGCTAAGTGAGTTTCTTCGCCCTCGATCTGAGGAACGTCAGCGAGAGAGGAAATGCACAAGACACGGGCGACGTAGACAGGTTCGGGCCGCTGAGAAGCGTAACACCCTACTCCTGTGTTCTGGTGGATCTGTGCATGAAGGAATACAGCGAGGCCGAGAGCGAGAGAGAGTTCAGGCTCTAAAAACCATTCGCCAGAGTCCCCACTCCCTTCTCCCCTAGGCCTGGGCCTCCTTTTTATCTGGTCAGGGGTCACCACATGGGCCTCTAGCTGCCTAAGAAGGGAAACATGCTTTTTACAATGAGGGCTAGTCTACAGCCGGAAGTGACCTCTGACAAGCAAAGCACACGCCTCCTGCCCCGCTCGCCTGCTTTCCCGGTGGACGCCCATTTCAACCTTCATTTAATGGCTAGCGACTTCCTTGCCATACTTGCGCTGAAGCCTGGAATGGATCTGACCGGGACTGACATACCAACTCCAGGAGTTAGCACGCCGGCTCCGGCTAGGGACGAGAGCCAGGAAGCTCTCATCATTCCGACGGGACGGGGCGAGGCGTGTGACAGGCAGCCTGTTGCCACCTAACCCGCGATCTGACCGGTCTGTGACCGGTCACACACCGCGACCGGTCACAGACCGGATAAGCATGCGCTGCGCCGCATTAAATGCGGCGTGGCGCGCTCGTCCAACCTGCTATAAATGCGGTTAGGTGAGCCCGCTGTGCTCACCTAACCCACACACGTGGCGCCAAAACCACAGGGGGTCGGGGCGCCCTAGCCCTCGGGGCCGAAACGGGAGCGGCCCGACCCCTCGGGGAGACAGAGGGAGGGGTGGCCACGTCACCCTCGGGCCCGACCCCCCAAGGGGGTCAGGCCACGTGGGTGACCGCGGCTACCCAAGCCTCTAGTCACGATACCCCCGGCCCCATGTCACCGACAACAATAGTAGGCTATAAGTCAACTATAAGCACATGTGAAGGAGATAAGAGAGGAGAAAAAATAGAAGTTAATTATAGATTTGTAGTCAGATGTAACATGGAATCAAAGACACTTTGTGTGTATGAGATGTGAGATCAGATATTACCGATGTGGTATATATTTATAAGTAACTACTGTATAAATAAGTTATTAAATTGGTTATATATATGATTTGGAGCTAGTAATTTGGTTATATTGCTCTAAGTACGAGTGTGAGGAAACTCCTTTGCAATTGTTCCACAGCAATTTTTGTCCCGTTGTGTTCAAATATGAGACTGAACAGTAAATACTCGTTTGCGTGTCCATCGCAGAACCTAGCAAATCCGTAAAGACGATTTGCAAATCTCCAGTATCTTCAAATTTTGGGAGACTTTCGTCCATTTTGTTCTTCCCGAGTGTTGTCACGATCCATTTCTGCCGCCTTCGCTTCTTCCTCTGCCTCGGCCTTCGCCTTCGCCTCTGCCTCAGCCTTCGCCTTCGCATTCGCCTCTGCCGTCTGCTTCAGCTCGTCGATCACGATCTCGAGGCGGGAGGACTCGTCATCGGAGCCGGCGCGCTTGGCCGTCATGAGGCACTCGGCGACGTCGGCCGGCGTGATGCTCTCCCTGCCGAGGATCTCGCCGACGGGGCCGAACAGCCGGTGGTCGTCGACGTCGAGGTAGTTCTTGGCGAGGGTCTTGAACGCCTCGATTCCGCAGTACGACATCTCGATGCGCATGTCCATCCTGCCCCGCCGGATCAGCGCCGCGTCGAGCTTGTCGACGTGGTTCGTCGTGAACACGACGATCCGCTCGCCGCCGCACGCCGACCAGAGCCCGTCGATGAAGTTGAGCAGGCCGGACAGGGTCACCATGCTGCCGTCACGGTCATGGCGCCTGCTGCCGTCGTCCCTGTCGTTCTGGCGCCCCCGCCGCTGCGTGGCGGCGCGGTCGCCGGTGAGGTCGAGGGAGCAGTCGATGTCCTCGATGACGATGATGGACTTGCTGGTCGTCTCGATCAGCAGCCTGCGGAGGTCGTTGTTGTCCTTCACCACGGTGAGCTCGACGTCGTAGATGTCGTAGTCGAGGTAGTTGGCCATGGCGGCGATCATGGTGGACTTGCCGGTGCCCGGCGGGCCGTGCAGCAGGTAGCCCCGCTTCCACGGCTTGCCGGCGCGCCGGTAGAAGTCCCTGTCGCTCCGGAACGCGTCGAGGTCGTCGATGATCTCCCTCTTCCTGGCCGTGTCCATGGCCAACGTGTCGAACGTCGTCGGGTGGTCGAAGTCGATGTAGCTCCATGCTTTGTAATCGTACCGGCTGCACAGTCACATCAACGCAATGATCAGCAAGATCGAAATGAAAAAAAAAAAGAAGAAAATGTGAAAATGTACAAGGAGTCGCCGGATTTGTTGTTGGTGTAGAGGCGTCGGCGGCGGTTGCTGAAGAGGATCTCGCGGCCCTTCCGGCGGACGTGCGGCAGGTACTCGTCGACGACGAGGCGGCGGTCGCGGTGGTGGAACGTGAGGCGCTGGCACCGCCGGGTGTGCGCCCTCTGCTGCCCCTGCGCGTCCTCCCGCACCACTGACGTCCACCACAGCGCGGCGCCCCGGAACTCGTCGGCGACGTCCTGCCCGTCGCGCATGCTGATCACGACGCCGTCGCCCTCGGACGCGCCCTCGGCGCGGAGCTCGCGCGCCTCCCCCGCGCACCCGTCGCTCAGGTACGCCTTCACCTCCTCGTAGGTGCTGTCGCCGCTGTCGGTGACGCGGCCGTACCGGGAGTAGTGCGCGCTGGCGCCGCCCGGCTCGGAGACGTCGACGGTGACGTAGGGGTCGACGACGGCGAGGAGGCGCCGGGCGTGCCGGCGGAGGAAGAGGTTGAAGTAGGTCTTGAACAGCCGCCGCGGCGCGTAGGCGGCGAGCAGCGGCGCCAGGAGGAGCCACAGCGAGCCGAAGTTGGACAGCACCGAGCCCAGGTTGGCGAACGCCCAGCGCCGCCACTGGACAACTTTGCCCGTCTCGGCCGAGAGAGCCATGGACGGCGGCGACGACGTACGGCACCAAGCGGTGAGTTCGCAGCACACGGGTCTCTGGCTCTCTGTCCGCGCGTGCAGAGATTTATGTAGCGCGCTTCTGCCACATTTATATCTTTTTAAAGAAAAAAAAATCCCACGATCTCATTTGACCATTTATTACCTGCTAGTTAAGCTTAAAAGTAACCACTCGATGCCTTCTCTCCGTGATAAAATATAGCAACTACTCCCTCCGTATTTTATTTTAATGTATGACGCCGTTGATTAAAAAATCAACGGCGTCATACATTAAAATACGGAGGAAGTAGTATTTAATTAAATGCCATCTAATACTACGAATTTAAAAAATATATATATCTACGACTATTAATTTTTATAATTCGTGTAGTTTAATATGCTAATTATATATTATATAATTATTTTCTATGGTGAATTTAAAACAAATATAAATATGATGATGTTAAACTATATAATTAAGTTTGTAAAAATTAATGAGCAAAGATTAAAATGTTTGATTTAAAATAAAATTAAACGGCAAATAATTCAAAATGAAGAGGATAGCTCATTGAGTTACTCCATCTGTCTCAAAATAAATTAACCTTGTACGTGATATGACACATCGGTTGGTTTATTTTATTAAGGGAGTACGATTTATGACAATGAATACCTACCCACAAATAATTGGGAGAGACTACAGAATGGGATCCTGTTAGAACGTGATATTTTAAGTGACTCCTCCCCACTTCCACGTGTGCTCTCTCCTGATACGTGATACCTGGTACCTTAGGTACTAGTTGATACCTGGTACCTTTGGTATCGGCTGGGTACCGGCTGATACCTAGTATCTAGATACTTTAGTATCGGCTGGGTACCAGCTGATACCTGATACCTAGATCTTTAAGTAGTGACTCCTTCATGGTACTTGGTACCACCTGGTACCCGGTACTTGCGTACTGAATGGTACTTGGTACCTGGTACCCTGGTATCGAGCTGGTACCAAGGTCTGATACCTAGGTACTAGGCGTGATACCCAAAGAGATAGTGAACGAAGCCATCCCAGCTTCGCTTGAGGCGGAGAGACGCTGCGCGTCGCCGGCCACCGCGGCTGCTACTCGCACGGGGCAAGACCACGGCGACGCAACACGTGGCGGCGCGGCACCTGGACCACACCTTCGAGAAGCTCGCGTCGGCGCACCTCCAGCTTGTGATGGCGGTGCCGTTGGTGGACGCGTTGCGCGGTTCGCCCTCCGAGCTGCTCGCGCTCCCCGACCACGCCCACCACTTCCCGCTCCAGCTCCACCGGCGAGGCGCGCTCCCTCTCTCCCTCTCACTCACCGCGCCCGCTGCCGAGCTCCTCGCTGTCACTACCTCCCCCGCAGCGGCGGCCGCCGGCTCCGGCAACGGTGGGGTGACGGTGACAGGGAGAGCTACACCTCGAGTGCCATCTGATTTGGAGGAGGGGAGTGAGGTAGGAGGAGGGGATCCGAATAATTTGAGAGAGGAGGGTGAGGTAGGAGGAGGGGATCGATCGATTTGGGGGAGGGGAGTGAGGTAGGAGGAGAGGATCCGGATGATTTGGGGAAGAAGGGTGAGGTAGGAGCAATTTGGATTAGTATTCCGTCTTCACTAAATACCGGTGCGTAGATTTTCTCTAAACAATTGTAACATGTTTGTAGAAAAACCGGTCTTTACCGTCTAACCCACGCGGACAAGTCTTCTCTTCATTGAGCGTCACCACTCACCTCGAAGGTACCAAACAAATACCTAACCACAATTTGTTTTTTACACCTTGTCTTCACTCATGACAATGACGTAAAGTTGTAGTACAACAATTTCCCCGGTTGCTAGAGTTGACTTGGGTGCTCATAGTTAAGAAAATTGGAGATTCATATGGCGTGTTCTCTCATGATTTTGTATCGACTATTTCAAACTACTCCCTCTTTAAAAAAATCAATCTAAGAAGATGTGATCTCTCCTGAAATAATGTATCTGAACATATTAGGAGGGGTCATATATTAAGGCCGAGTTTAGTTCCATACTATTTCTTCAAACTTTCAACTTTTCCATCACATCAAACTTTCATACACACATAAACTTCTAACTTTTTTATCACATCGTTTCAATTTCAACCAAACTTTTAATTTTAATTTTAGTGTGAACTAAACACACCCTAATTCTTTTTAGAACACCCTAATTCTTTTTAGAACGGAGGGAGTATGTCCAATACAAATAAACACCAAAGCAAACAGAGAAATGACAGACTGGAATGTAAGGACTAAGCTGGGAATAAACAAAAGACTGGAATGCAAATAAACAAAAGACGTGTCATAGCCGGTGACAAGGAATTAGACGACTAGCAGCGTCATACTTGCTGAGTCCAAAATGTCCAATAGAACCTGGATTTATAATATCTTTATTTATCCCAAAGTTGATTCAGTTCATTTGCCCATCATTTTCTTAATGACATGTCGATCCAGGGTTTTAGAAAGTGGGAAGGAAGTTAAACAATATACGTGAAATTGACGGGCAAAATAGAAATTAGACATACCTAACATTGTTTTTTTTTTCTTTGGCTTGCTTTACAGTTACCTGGAAAACCTGAAAAAACCTAGCTGATCAATCAATTTTCAACGGCCGCGATTGCTTTAAGATTTATGTGTGGATTATAATCCTTTTCCCTCCTTCCTCTTCTCCCCATTTCCACCTCAGCCTGCCCGCCAAGATCTTCACCCATACGCCGCTGTGTACTATACCGGCGACGCCCGTACAAGCGTGTCGTCATCGAGCCATCTCGACGAGATTTCCCAGCCCCGCCACTCATTCGCATCTCCAGCAGCTCTCACTCCTAACATCACCTCCTAATTATTTCGGTGAGATTCCACTATACATATTGTCGTCGCACTGCCCATGTCCTCCCCACGGATGAGACACCGCCGCCGCCCGCAACCACTGCCCATCACCTAGCCGCCACTGCCCCGACTATTTCTCTCTGCCCCAAAATCCCTCCTATACCTACATTGTCCTCCCCCAACCCCCTCCTACCTTGGCTCCCACGCAATACCTAATTCGGCGTGCCACCACCGTCGCTGAAGAAGAACCCATGTCCTAGGAGGACAAGAGGAGCACGAATCATAGCGCAAAAATCGACGGGGGGAAAATTTAATCTTTTTTCTCCTAATGAATAGCAAAGGTGTTTTTCTCTCCTTCATCCTCTTTCTTTCTTCCCATATTGAGACCTGCGAAGGTGATTCTAGCGTGTAAACACTCACACGATGGCTGTGTCCGGTACTGGAGGATGGGAACCTATCCCCTCCACACGGAAAACGGAGTGGTCCATTAGCTCGTGATTAATTAAGTATTAGCTAATTTTTTTCGAAAATGGATCAATATGATTTTTTAAGCAACTTTTATATATAATTTTTTTTGCAAAAAATATACCGTTTAGCAGTTTGAAAAACGTGTGCGTGAAAAACGAGATGGAGGACTTGGGAACCGGGGATTCCGAACACACCCATACGTGCTTCCTAACCCTGCTTGGTGTTAGCTAGAAAACACACCATAAGTGCTTCTAACCCTGCTTGGTGTTAGTTAGAAATATTACGGCTCTATTCGTTTCTGATTAAGATATAAATTTTACCTTGATTTTCGTTAGCACGCTTTTCAAATTGCTAAACGGGTAAAAACTTTCTATATAGATTTTGCTTTGAATTATCATATAAATTCATGTTTTAGTTTGAAATAATTAAAACCTAATTAATCATGCACTAATGGCTTTCTCATTTTATGTGCTCGTACTTAATCTTCATCACTCCATGAGAGGTATATCTATTATAGTATTAAAATAGTCTTGAAAGAAAGTATCACGTTTGCTATGCTGGCTAGAAATTCTCACATTAGTCGGAGAAAAAGAAAAAATGTTTAAGTAGGAATACATTTAAAAATTATTGAAATTTGGAATGAGAAATAAGGAATATTAAAATAAGAGTCCATATAAGAGTTCAAGCAGAAATACATTTAAAAATTACAATAATAAATAAAGAAATAAGTGCTCATATAGAACACAACTAGAGAATAATTAAAATTCAGACTAAAGAATAAAATAAATTTCTAAATTAGATAAATTCGAAATAATAAATAAGGAATATTGAAATAAGAGTATGTATAAAACACAATGAGAGAATAATTAGAATTCAGAATAAAAATAAATTCTGAAATTAAATAAATAAAAATAAGAGTTAAAGTTGAAATCAATTTAGAAACAATTAAAATTGATAATAAAAAATAACGGATAAAGAATAGTCTATGTAGTACACACAAGTTTAATAAAAATTTGTAAAATAATTTTCAAAATTAGAAAAATAAAAATAAGAGGTCATATATGAATTCAATTTATCAATTAATAAATTCAGAATAAAAATAAGGTCTGTTAAATGAGATCATCTAGAACACAACACGGTATTAACTATAATCGAAAGAAAAAATAAAATAAATTCTCAAATTAGAAAAAGATAAATGGGAGTTTAGTAAGAATATAATTTAGAAATAACTTAAATTCGAAATATAGAACATTGACATGTACAATACGGAATAAGCTGAAATTAGGAATAAAAATAAATTAAACAAAATTAGAAAAATAAAAATAAGAGTTAAGTAGGAATACAATTTATAAATAACAAATATTAAGAAAAATTGAAAGAACAGTACATTTAGAATATAAAATGGTGGCAAATGACCTTATATAGGATAGGGATAGCAGGCAAGCCGTAAAGGTAGGGTGGTGGCGGTTGATCGGATATATAAAAGAAAACCCTCAATCATTACTATATTCTATTTTTAAAATGCTAACGACGATTAAAAGGATAAGAAGTGGGCAAGCCATTGTAACGCTCCGCTTTTCGTGAGGCGTTAAAAACTAACTCGGCAAAATCCTAATTGCGAAAATTTTCGTTCTTTGTGTGAGAGTCTAAGTTGTGCCAAGGATCTCAATTTAATCCCGTTGTTCCCTCTCATCGAAATCAGAATCCTCCACCTCGAAAATTCCTCTTCCGATTCGAGTCTCCGAAATCAAATTCCGAAAGTCAAATCCTTCCTTTGAATCCTCGCCAAATACTTCTATGAATCCAGAATTATTCAAATCCCGCCTCGAATCCTTTCCTTGACTCCACCCTATTGAATCCTTTCCTTCAATACCCAAATATTCCTTTTGAATCTTTTCCATGACTCCTCCTTGAGTTTCCCTTGATACATCCCTAAACCCTCGAGTTTGAATATCAAAATTGAATTCGAATCCAAACCCTAAATCTCTCCAATTCTATCCAAATCAGTTTTCTCTGTAAAAGTCTATTTTACCTCCCTCGTGATGATTTGGGCCGAAACCTGCCGTTGGCCCATCTCTTCTCAGCTCCCTCCATCTCCGCGTGCGCCGCACGTGACCACCAAGAGAGAGAGAGCGCTGTCTCTCTCTCCCTTCCCTCTCTCGGACGTTCTCTCGCTCTCTCGTCCTCTTCCTCTCTCTCGCTGTTTCTCTCTCTCTCTCTCGCGCCGACGCCGCTTCCCGCCGTCGCCGCCCAAAACCCGCCACCGCCTTCGCTCTTTTCCGCGCTCGCGCGTGGCCGACCGGCCGGTCGTTGCCGCCGTAAGCCCTGCCGCGCCTGCGCCGCGCAGCCGCCCGGTTGCCGCCGCGTCAAGCCCTGGCGCCGCCTGCGTCGTGCCCTGCCGCGCTGCCGCCCCGCCGCTCCACGCCGCTAGCTTCCAAAGCCGAGAGAGGCATCCCCTGTCTCAATCCCCTCTCCCTCCTCCTTTTCCCGTTTCGGCAAGGGTCAAGCCCTCCTTTCCCTCTTCCTTTCCCCTTTTTCCCGACCACCGCCGATGTCATCCATGGTCCCAGCCGCTTGCGGCCAAAGCGCGGACGCTGGTCGTGCGACTGCACCAGCTCACCACCAGCTCGCTCTCCTTGACCGCCACCAAGGACGGTTTCCCTCCCTCCCCAAACCGACATCGCCTCCACTATAAAACCCAAGCCGCCCCAAACCCCTTCTTCTCTCGTTTTCGCTCGCCACACTCTCACCGCGCCATTGTTGACGCCTTGCCGCCGCTCCCACCTCTTGCCTTCGTCTCTTCGCCGTCGCACGCGTCGGAGGCCGGTGCGTGCGTGGACGCGAGACGAGGACTCCGGCCATCCCTCTTCTTCCCCTTCCCCGGCCCGAGGCCAGAGAGCTCGCTCCCGCGCCGTCGGCCGCTCGTCACTGCGCCCGTCTCGGCTTGGTAGTGCCACCCTCCGTTTCCCCCTTCTCGCTCGTCCTCTCCCTCCCTAGCTCGCGTGGTAGCTCGGCTAGCCCCCCGATCACGCATGGACGCTGCCCCAGGTCTCGCCGCCGCCCGCCATAGGCTTGCCGCCGTTGCCGCCCGCTCCCGGAGGCCGCCGCCGTCGCCAGCCCTCCTCGGCAGTCCTCCGCCCCATCCGGTGCCGGAAATGAGTTCCCCGTGCCCCGGAGATGCTCCCTCCTCCTTGAATCGACCTCTCGTCGCCCCGCCGCGATTTCCCCTTTTGATCTCCGGTGATTGCTGCCGCCGCAATCCACCGTCGTCGGCTCCTCTCGCGTCGATTCCTCTCGCCGCCACGCTCCCGGGGATCCCCTTGACCTCCCCCTGGCTGCCCCAAGGCCGTCGGCCTTCCCCTTTGTCTCCGCGCCGTGTCGCCGCTTCCGCCGCCGCCTAACGCTGCCGTGCGTACGCCGCCGGCGACCATCGGGTCCCACGTCCCCGCGTGCGCATCGCGGTCGCGTACCGGTTCGGCTAAGCCCGAGCCCGCGCGCCCTTCGCACATCTCGCGCGCGGCCACGTCGGCGTGCCGGCGAGATTGGTCGCCGCCGCCAGCCGCCGTCGTTTTTCCCCCGGCTAATCCGCTCCGTTGAATCGATTCCCCTTGGCCTCCTCTCTCTTCCGTTGCTAACCCCCCAATCCACCTCGCCGCCGTTCGCCGGTTCACGTCGCTCGTCGACGGCCATCGGATCAGCCTGCCCGGCCTCCTCTCCCTTCCCCATCCGACGTGGCATCCACGTGGATGCCACCTCAGCCGCCCGGCCCCGCGGAGACCGGTCAAAGGCCTCCCGGTCCACCGATCCAACGCGCCGCCTTGCGTGCACCCCGCTCGCGCGAGCCGTGTCGCCGCCTTGTGGGTCCCACCTTGCGCCCGGCACGATGGACCGCGTCCACCGGCTTGCGTCGCCTGGGCCGCGCCTCGTTCGGCCTTGGGCCGCCTCCCTCCCGCGCGCCGGCCCACTCGCCTCGGCCGCGCCCGCGCATCTCTTCGGGCCGCGCCCCTTCGCTCGGCCCAAGTCCAATTAACATCCCTCCATCCTTTTCTTTTTCAGGGATTTAATAAATCCTATTTCCTTTGTCCCATAAATCAATTCCTTATTTCAAAAATTCCATAAATCTTTTCCCTTGGTCCCGCACGTCCGTGACTGCCAATAATATTCTTGAGAATATTATTTCTATAAATTTCATAAATCAATTTCCCCTTGTTCCACAAATATCTTCCTTTGCCCAGAAATTCCAATTAAACTTCCAAAATTCATATCTCTCGATCCGTAACTCTGATTGACTCCGTTCCACTTCCCGTATTTCCATAAAATTGAGATCTATTTAATGGCACTACTAATTAGTCTAAATAGGATCTTTCTTTTGGTCTTTTGTTTAGGTTTTCGATTGTTTGCGTATAGTTGCGGTTATCGGATTTTCGTCGATCGCGGGTTTTCTCGAAGATTCGTGAAGCTTCATGAAGACCTTGAGCAAGGCAAGTCACCCTTTGATCAATTGCCCCTATAATTGAAAAGTCATTATTATTTTGTTTGCAACTTGCATTATTAGAATCACACACACTTAACTTGCTTGGCCTCGGTTTGCATGCCAAACCGACGGACCTACCCAGTAGTCGTACTAATTTCCGTAGGTCGTACTACCCTGAATCCTTGTCGCTCCACCCTTGTGGTACCTCGGTATTCGTGCTCTCTGAGCACGTATACCAAATATCCCACATACACCGTTGCTTGTCGAAAATTTGGGAAATGGGTTTGTGAAGCCTTCAAAACCCGACATGTGGTGTCGGTGTGTTTGAAAATAAAATGAATTGTGAAAACTCGCGATGCGGGGGGTTGTGCCTATGTGGCACTATCCCGTATTCGCATATAAGGACCGATTCCTGTGGGAAACTCATCGAACATAATCAAAGTACAACCACAAGGTGGAATGGGACACCCTAGCTAAGTAACTAGTCGGTTCAGGGAAACCTCGCATGCCAATAGTTGGGAACGCCGGGGCGGGGTCGGTTGGAGCCAAACCGGGTTCCTGGTAATGCAAGAACGAGAAGCTTGCTGAATTACCGATCGAGGTGGTTGGAGTTTGATTTGTGAACGCCTAAAATGGCCTATGTTTATGTGAGGATTTGATCCTTCTATGTGGCATGAGGTATCCCTGGGTCGGCTTGGGAAAGGCTTTGTCGCGAATCTCTGACACCGGCCAGTGTTTGGAGTAAGTTCGTGTCTTGTGGGTAAAGTGTACCCCTCTGCAGAGGTTAACTAACTGTTCGAACAGCCGTGCCCACGGTCATGGGCGGATGTGAGGTGGTTCCCGTTGCGTAGATTTGTTTGCCTGTGCTTTGTGAAAAGTTGTTGTGGTGTGGGAATCGTAACCAGAATCAGCCTGTGTGGCAGATGGATGACCTGAGTGGTCAGAAACGAATCTGTGTGATTCGGGATGTCTGTGGGCATCATAGACTAGGCTTCCCGAGTGGAAGCGGATTGCTTTGCTGCGGGGCAGCTGGACTCTAGGAGTCTGAGAAAATGAAAAAGGCTATGGGAGCCGATTAATCAAGTGGAATGGCTCTGGGAGCCGAGAAGTAATGATCTGACCCGGGAGGTCGGTACATTACTAAATGAGCTGTTGAAAAACATCTCTTAAAGTCGAATCGAGACGCAAGTCTCTCTTTTCGGCCCAAACTTAAAAAGAAATAAATCACTTAGTGATTTCAAAAAAAGTCTTCAAATAAAAGATTTGCAAAACAACCTTGCCTCTCTTCCAAGCTTGCATTAAACACCTAAGTTCCCGTTACTTGCTGAGTACGAAAGTACTCACCCTTGCTCTATATATAGTTCCTCCGCCCTGAAGAGAAGATAAAGTGAAGTGAAGATTAGGGTTTCGTCCTGGTTCCCAGCCGTCACCTGTGGTGTTGGGTGTTAGACCGTTGGTTCCGCTGCTGCTGCTGCTGTTGGTGTTTCCTCGTCCGCGTCGTCGGTTGTATTCTCGGGCTGTCTGAGCTGCAACCTAAGTTAAGGTAAATAAGTCCTCTATTTATTTTAAGGATTGCTATGATTCATATTTGTCACCGTGGGTACTAGCACTATGTCCTGGGACTGGTACCGAGATCACGGTTTCGTAGGAAGCGGTTCGCGCCGTTTTCCCTACGACACGCTCCTGTCAGGTGCCGTTGTACGGCGGTATCAGATTGGGGTGTGACAGCCATGAAAGGAGCATGCTATGATGGTTGACGGGACTTCTAGATAGTAAAAAAAAAACTAACGATAATCATCAATTTTTGTAATCCCAATAACACTAAACAGGAGGATAGCGAGTGGACCGTACAGGAATACAATACCGAGTTGTGATGAGACTTCTTAAACTATAAAACGGGAACCCGACTTTGATGGGACTTCAACAATTATAAAGCCTGAACCTAACGATATAATGAACTGGAAAAACTACATGATCGAAAATTTAAAGGTTTCAAGAAGCATGAATAAAAGCCTTGGTAGATTGGCGAGCAAATAAAGGAGATGACAGTTGGTGTGACTTTTAAAAACTATAAAATTAAAACCTAGATATTGATAATTAAGATTTGATCTTTAAAAATCATGACATAACCATATAACTATTTAATAATTCTTAAAGAAAATCATATGTAAGAAAATATAATTTTGTACAGGGTGCTAGCCGCGCAATTGCTTGTGTGCATGAATTTTTTTATTTCATCATGAATTGACATAATTGCTATAATTTTCTATAAAATAAAACTTAAAAAAGTTTTAAATAGGAGGAAAATCAAAGCGACGAAGGTGGTACTATTCATGACAATTTGTATCTGTCTGTTAATTTTTTGCCATAAAGCATACACGCAACAAGATGGAAACACCTACTCCTATGCTGCTACTTTCCGCTGACAGCTGTCATGCCGCGTCTGTCCGACGGGCGGGGCTCGTCCTGTCGTGTCGTCCGCGCCAACGACGCCGTTCATCTCCTCGTCGCCGGGCAAGCTGGCAATGGCGACGGCGGCGCCGTCCAAGTCCCTCCCCTTGCCCCAGAGCACGGTGTACAGCCCCACGACAATGATCACGGCGCCGATAACACTGCACACGCACCACGCCGCCACAATAAGCAAGGATTACAACAGAGTTGTGAGCAAACAATCGACATGTAATTACAGAGTAATCTGTTCATCAAGAACACAACGATGATCAATCATGATCGACCGCGCACGCGCCTACCTCCCGACGTGTATCTTCTCGCCGAGGATGCCCCAGCCGACGACGGCGACGACGATGAGCATCAGCGGGCTGAACATGGACACGAACACCGGCCCGCGCTCCTGGATGCACCACGACATCACCGTGCACACCATCCCCGACGCCACGATCCCCTGCCCATTTATATATACACAGGTGTTCGATCAGTTCCCTCTCATGTCGTGCTAGGACGTACTGACTGACTCTGCATAGTTTAATATTACCGCGTAGAGCGCGCCGACGAGCCTGATGTCAAGGCCGAGCTCCCACGCCGAGAACCTCCGCTCCGCCGCCCCCGCGATGGCGGCGCACTGCACGCTGGCGATCAACGCCATCAGCGCCGTGCTCGTGTACGGGCAAGCGAAGCTCTTGGACAGATTCTTCTGCGAACACCACGAATTAAAATCCATTCACCATTTCCCGCCGCATGATCATCAAATTAAGTTGTTTGTACCTGGATGATGAACCAGATGGCCCACGCGACGTTGGAGCCGATGACGAGGACGGCGCCGAGGACGACGGCGTGGCCGCCGGCGTGCGCGGCGGCCTCGGCGGCCATGGTGCCCTGGACGTAGGGCCAGTGGACGGGGGACGCCAGGGTCCTGACGAGGGGGCCCCGGTAGAACGTCATGAGCATGGATCCGGCCACGCACAGGGCGGTTCCGGCCACCTTGGCCCGGCCGGCGCGGCCGGCGACGGGCTCCATCTTCAGCAGCGCCGCCAGGAGGAAGGTCACCGCCGGGAGGGTGTTGTTCAGCGCCGACGCCACCGTCGGGCTGCTGTACTTGAGGCCCACGAAGTAGAGCACCTGATTGAGTGTTGCTCTGCCAAGGGACATTATATGTTTTGATATTATTTTGGAGTAGAGAATGGACGTACGTGTCGACTGACTTAAAATAGGTGTAGACAGTCAAAATATACAGGAACACTTCGGTTGAGTTCATTTTAGCAATTTGAAAGAGCAACTTTCTTATATTTATATTTCGTTAGGACGTTTCTCAAATTGCTAGACAGTGTGTTTTGAGGAAATTAAATAAACTGATTTGTTTAAGTTTGTGATAGTTAATACTCAATTAATTGTGATGTTCTTGTTTTGTGCGCTGCGAAAAAGCATAGGCAATCTGCCTTGTCGAAGAAACCTTAACCCAATAGCTTGTAGCTCGGTTTGAAATAAATTATTGAGCGGACTGTTATTAATAAATAGCTTAAAACAAATTATTTAAACAAAAAATAATAGATATTTTTTGAGAAAATATAGTTTTCAAACCGTAGAGTAAATAATCAGATTAATAATCTGAAAAAAAAACTTCAATCTATATATCCTCTATCTAAAATTCCAGCCAAAATTAGAATAAAACTTAATGACTCTAGTTTCTACTAACAATTTGCATCCATTCTCTTTCATACACACTTATAATTTGGCCAGTACTTTTTATAATTATATACTAGTGAACTTATTTGTGGATACAATGATGGTTGGTTGAAACGCCATTTGGAGTAAAACCCAAAAATATTTCTAGTTAATTATGCTAGTCAACAGATCCATTCCAGTAAAAAAAAAACAATTCCATTCCAGTAAATCGAAATCCCAACTGTGCAATTTTGTCACATAAAACTATACACAAGTACACCATCCCGGTCCAAATACCGTTACAGTTCTCTATATTTTTCAGCTGTTTACTGAATGTAAGTCATTTAAGAACTATTGTATGCACCTTTTTATCTTTTACCTCATATTTTCCTTGCTAATAAATAATATTTATCACACAAATAATGATTCATCTTTATAATGCAGCATAAATATAATATAAAGGAGAACAAATTTATTTGAATTCGGAGTCTTTTTTAATTCTTTTTTCACAAGACAAAAACAATCTACATTTGGAATTGAAGGGAGCATACATGTGTGCTAAATTTATTTCATCTTAATCGGAGTAGTGGAAGAATATCTTTTTCATATATATTGTTTTTCGCTATGGTTCAATTGTGTGTGTGTGTGTGTGTGTGTGTGTAACTTAGGAGCAGTGGTTAAAATTTGGTATAAGCCCCAGTTAACTCAATCTTTAAAATTATGGAATTACATAGCATCCTTCTGATTAGTTAATGCTACTATTATCCAAGGAAGGGGAACTGGATCAAATAACTTCATTGAAGTACATAAAATGAAATAGTCACCCAATGCTGGAGCATATGAATATCTGGAATAATATCTTCTTACTAATTGCCCTCCAAGTTTTCCTGCAATCACACAAGAAACTCAGTTTACCACTTTGAATTAATGGCATTAAAAGTCAACATGGTTTTGGTTGTACATTGAAAGATATACAGGTAAATGAGTGGAATTGAATACATCATTATACAGATATAGGTCATTTAGATAATCAGTGGAATTGCATACATCATATATGAAAGTGGACTTATACAGGTAAATGACAATATTAAGTAATTATATGTAATGATTTCGTTTCACTTTGAATATTAAAGTTGGATATATCTGAAGACTACATCACCAGGTTTAGAATCTATGTAACATTCAAATTTTGTGTTAAAAAATAACATTTTGGATACATGAAGATTACAGGATAGATCATTTTACTTAAATACTTGCAAAATATAAATTTATAAAAGCTAGTATATGTCGGTGGAAGACTGGAAGTAAAAAAGACAAAAATGTATTGAATACCACAACAGAAGGAAATAAACTAGCAAAATGAATCATAGTGGCCACTCAAAAGTGGCACTAACGATATACATAGGGATCCTAGCCCATATATCAGTGTCTTATTTACGTTCCACTCCTTATGGAGTGGCAAGTCTGAGAGTTGACATCTCCACTATGCTATGATAGTAGGGAAGTATATATTGTATCAATTACACCAATATATCAAGAGTAATACTTCCTCCATCTCTTAATATAAGAAATTTTGGAAGGATATTACACATCATAATTATACTACGAATATGGATAGGAATCTGTCCAGATTCGTAGTATTAGGATGTGTCACATCCCTTCAAAATCCTTTATATATCAAGAGTAATACTCCATCCGTCTTTTAATATAAGGAATTTCGGAGGGATGTGACACATTCTAATACTACGAATCTGGATAGGGGGTTTGTCCAAATTCGTAGTATTATGATGTGTTACATCTCTAAAAAAAATCCTTTATATTTCGGACGGGGGAGAAAAATGTTTAAGCTAATGAAAATTGAAAACTTGGGGAAGCACCACTGATATGGTGGTGGAGCCGTGGTTGCATAACTCCACCCACCAGAGTTTAAATCCTGGTGTTCACGAATATTACGCACATGAAGGTGGATTTTCAACAAGACTTTAGTCAAATCACGGATATGTCGCTGTTTTACATCTCTTAGAGCATGTGTTAGGAGATGCATTCGTCGTGGGGGTGTGAGTGTGGTGTTGTGTATACAGTGGTGTGTGTGCGTCTGCGTCTGCCGTATAATTTCAAAAAAGAAAAATTGAAAACTTCAATTGTCATGAATGTACCTTTCAACAAGGAATGCTATGGGAGCGAGGAAGGCGGCTGCGATGAAATTCCGGTAGGCGAGGAGAACATAGGGGCTCATGCCCGAGGCCATGGTCAGCTTGGACATCACATTCAAACCAGCAAGCCCCAGTTGCACCAGCACCATGGCAAGGAGAGGCAAGTAGGTACTCAAAGTACTAGCTTCCATGTCTAGCTATCGGGTAAGTACGTACACCCTCTCTTTCTCTCCCAAATGTTCAACAGTTCTTGTGTACTTGTGGTTACCAATGCTATGGCAACACACAAGAATTGTTCTTGGGAGAGAAAGATTGGGGGTGTAGAGGCACAGGCTGAGCAGAGAACATGTGTTAATGTATACTATATAGATGGAGCGTACGCGTACTTTGTAGATAGTAGTAGTGCAGCTGAGTGAAAAGCCAGTACAGGCGTTTCCGTTTCATGTAAAACAAAGTAGTAAATACTGTTACTCTTAAATTATTCATTTGATCATGAAGATCATGCTATCTTTGGAGACATCTAGCTTATATTTATCTCTTATTACTCCTCTCTCTACTTTGATAATGTACATCCTGTTTTGCCACACCCCATTGGTTGTACGCTCCATATTTTCACACGAACTGCCACATTTCCTGGTGACCGTTGCTGGTCAATTGAGGAGGGAATGAATTTACCATGTTCTAAAAAAAATGACCTGCATGACAACGCAATCTACGTGAAGATGAAAACCAGTTCATTTCATTTTATTCATAGATATTAGGATTCTCCACTAAAATATTGCAAGATTTTTTTAATATGAAAATATCATTTTGGGTCAGTCAATTCAAGCGAGAATCAAATGTTAGATGTTTTGCTTTTATTTTCTAAGATTTTGTTTCTGATTTTTTAATTCATTAGAGATGGCATCCTACTAGTGTTTTAAGATCATTTAATGACATCTATTAATTGTTATAGAATAAATAGATAGGAGTAGAAGATAGATAGACATACAGATAGATTTATTGAATAAATCGACAGATAGATATGTAGATATGTAGATGGATGCATTACGCCAGATCCTCACACCTTTGACAGCATATTTGTGACGGGCATAAGTACTGTTGGTCAGTGATGAAGATCACCTTTGACGGGTCCTACCGGATGCCGTCTTCAGTGAGCCATCCGGTTTCGACCTAGTCACCTGTGACGGGCCGGAAGTGAAAACCGTCAAAGGTGAGGCTTACCTCACCTCTGACGGGTTCCATTTTCAACCCGTCACAGGTGACTAGCTACCTGTGACGGGTCGCAACCGGATGGCCCGTCAGAGGTGAGGTTTACTCACCTCAAACGGGTTGAAGCCCTAACCCATTTGAGTGAGTTGTGTTACTATATATATACCCGATATATTTCTTCTCCCAGGAGATAAGGCCAGCTTCTCCACTTCTCTCTATTCTTCTCTACTTCTCCACTCTCTCTCCCTCTCTCTCTCCACAGACTTCTCTCAATACACGCGCCGAGCACCGGGTTCGGCAGCGGCATCTGCTTCCTCCTCCACCGGCCGGCGCCGCCTCCCCCGGCCACCTTCCGACCGTCGGTCAACTCCTCCTCCGCCACCCCACCGCCGCCTGCTAGATCCGGCGGTAGCCGCCTCCACTGCGGCCTCTCCCCACCGCAGATCCGGCGCCTCTCCACCGCCGGTCCCCTCCTCCTCCGCCACCCCATTGCCGCCTGCCAGATCCGGCGGCTGCCGCCTCCACCGCATGGTTGGGCGCCTCTCCACCGCCGGTCCCCTCCTCCTCCGCCACCCCACCGCCGCCTGCCAGATCCGGCGGCTGCCGCCTCCACCGCACCGCCAACCGTCGGATCCGGCACCTCTCCACCGTCGGTCGCCTCCTCCTCCGCCACCCCACCGCCGCATGCTAGATCCGGCGGCTGCCGCCTCCACCGCACCGCCAACCATTGGATCCAGCGCCTCTCCACCGCCGGTTGCCTCCTCCTCCACCACCCCACCGCCGCCTGCTAGATCCGGCAGCGGCCGCCTCCACCGCACCGCCAACCGTCGGATCCTGCGGCCTCTACCCCCGACAGCCGGCGTCGTCCACCATCTCCTCCACCCGCTAATGCCGCCGCCATTTCCAACTCTTGTAGGTTGTGCAAATTTTCATTGCCAAATTTCAGATTGGGTTATACTCTCAGTTGCTTGTGTAGATTTATAGTTTATTACTCAAAGTTGTGTGGATTTGTGATGTATAGTACTTGTGTGGATGTGCTTCATGTGTCAACATATCTGTCAATAAAATGCAAAGTTATTGTGTCAAGAGAGATTTTGAGATGTTCTTCATGTCATGAGATATGGCTTGTGGGCTGCTGAGGCCTGAGAGCTGAGAGCTAGAGGCTGAGGGCTTTTGATTTTTTTTTGGTTGCTTTTCCACACCTGTGACGGGTGGTGAGTTGAAACCTGTCGGAGGTGTTTATCACCTTTAACAGGCTGAAAAGATCCACTCGTCACAGTGACGGGTTATTTTATTCGGTCCATCAGAGGTGTCAATCATCATTGACGGGCTTTCACCCGTTTGAGATGAGGTGCAGTCATCAGTGACCAAGACTAAATCCATCAAAGGTGAGGGTTAGAGCCTGTCACAGATGACTAGGTCCAGTGTAGTGATGGTTGCATACTTTCATGGGAAAATATATAATGTAAACCTATATAATGTAGTATAAATGTGGAAATTATTATTGGATAAAATATAGACATATGATATTTGTCCATGTCATCTTGAGTAAACTCATACTCATGATTAAATTTAGGAGTAAAAGCTTTATTCATGGTAACGTGCAGATGTTTAATTTTGTATCGAATGGTAATTTCTAGGTTTGCATTACATATTTTCCCTACATGCATGTCTTGCATTGGATAAATTCCACTTCACATCTCACATGTGTAAGGGTCGGGTTTTAATCCTATCTCTCAACCGTGAAACCAGATATTAGGCATCCCTCATCTTCTAAAACATGTGTAATATAGTTCCAAGGAGGTATTGAGGCATGTTTTGGCTAATGTAGTATTATGTGCTCCATTGGCATGAGCCCCTATGTGTAAATGTAGTCCAAGGTGGTATTTACACTGGTTTTATAAAGATGAGGAATATGTTGTATCTGGTTTTGTGGTTGAGCGACACGATCAAAACTCGACCCATATATATGAGGGACCTAAAACGAACTTCTCCCTCTAAGGAGTAGGGACAGTCAGATACATTGGGCCACAAAATTAGGCCCACTGACCAGGCCCACATAATAAACGAGAGAATAGGTTGCGTCGGTGCTGAACTGTGGCGGAATCTCAGACTTTGGCAGCATTCAAGGTTGCTGCCAAACCACTGGCCAATCAGTGTCACGTGAGTGAGCGGCGTGAAAGTTATGGCCGCACATCACAGGCCATCTGTGTCTAACCTGTTTTTATGTCATTGTGTCAGATAATGTTTGGATTCTCCTTTTACATAACTTTGGCCAATCATGTGTCCTATTAATTCTTCCTTTATGCATACAGCATACTGATACTATTAGTTCTTAATGCTACAAGTGTAACACTGCTAATGATTGATTTCCATTATTGAAAAAAAAAGTGTAACATTGCTGAATAACATGCCATCACAGTAATACATTGAGCAAAACTAAAAATGAAAATTCCTGTTCCAATTAATTCCCAATGATGCAATGTGCTTTGTAAAAGTTTCATCTATAGCGTGGTGTAAACTAATTACACTTGCTTCGATTTTTTTTTTACCTTTTACCACCCCAGCAAAAGAATCCAACGAACTCCAAGAATTGCAGAGAACCTATGCTGCTATGCTGCCGCCTGCAGGTCGATCTGAACAGGGAAGGACAGCGACAGCGCGTCGTCTCCGACGAGGACCCTGCTGACTCCCGACGGCACGACGGTGTACGCCGTCTCCTCGACGATCGCGAACGCCTTGCACACGTTGAGCGCGAAGGCCACCTCGACGGCGGCGCCCGCGGCCACCCGCACCCGCCGGAACGCCACCAGCTGCTTCCGCGGCGCGCCGTCCACCTCCGCCGGCGGCGCCGTGTACATCGGCACGACGTGGGTGCCGTCCCTGCCGCCCGTGTTGGCCACCGTGACGGCGAAGCTGACCTCCTCCTGGCACGCGTGGCTGGCCACGTTCACGGCCGGGCACGCCGGCGGCGAGGACACCCCGGCCTTGTAGGTGAGCTGCTTGCAGTACTCCCACGCGCCGACCTTGACCGTGACCGGGGCGGCGGCGGTGGCCGACGCGTAGGTGAAGTTGGTGTAGCTGAGGCCGTGGCCGAACGGGTAGAGCACGTCGGCGCCGCCGTAGAACTTGTAGGTCCGGCCGGGGTAGCCGTGCTCGGCGTCCGGCCGCAGCGCCATGGACGTCATCGGGATCTTGCTCACGTACTCGTTCTTGTACCACGTCAGCGGCAATCTTCCTCCTACAAAACAAAAATGTTTCAGAAAAATGCATTGAAGAACAGAGAATTAATCTACATGTACACTCGATTCTGTACCTGGATTGTATTTTCCGAAGAGCACGTCGGCGATGGCCGTGCCGCCTTCCTCGCCGGGGTAGCCGGCCCAGACGACGGCGCCGATCTTGGGGTTGTCCTGGGCGAAGGAGACGTCGACGCCGCCGGCGGACATGATCACCAGGACGATCGGCGACGGCGAGGCCTCGGCGACGGCGTTGATCCAGCTGGCCTGGCTCCACGGCAGGAGGAGGTCTTCCCTGTCGTTGCTCTCCCTCTCCACGCTCATGTTCAGGCCGGCGACGACGATGGTCGCGTCCACCGTCTTCGCCGCCGCGGCCGCCGTGTCGCACGATCCCTTGTCGCATGCGTGCACCGACGTCGAGCTGACCACCTTCCGTACGCCGTCGTACGGCGTCACCACCCTGCAAGGCTTACCTCTGTAGTCTCCAAGCATGACGTCGGTGGCATTGATGTGTTGCAGCTGCCCGAACAGTGCCACCGAATTGACCTTCTCCGGCGACAACGGGAGCAGCGCGGCGTCGTTCTTGAGGAGCACCATCCCCTGCCTGGCGGCGTCGGCGGCGAGCTCCTTGTGCTCCTCGGTGCAGACGTCGGCGGCGCCGAGGGACTCGAGCTCCGGGATGCCGTCGAAGAAGCCGAGCCTCATGAGTGTGAGGTAGAGGTTGGTCAGCGCGTTGTCCACGGCGGACTCCTTGAGCTTCCCCTGCCGGACGGCGTCGACGCCGTAGGTGGTGAAGAAGTCGTGGACGCCCTCCCAGAACATGCCGCAGTCGAGGTCCAGGCCGGCCTTCATGGCGGCGGCGGTGGCCTCGACGCCGGTGTAGCCGAGCCACTTGGCGTCCCTGACCATGACGCGGACGGAGTCGCAGTCGGAGACGATGTAGCCGTGGAGCTGCCAGTCGCGGCGGACGGTCTCCGTGAGGAGGCGCGCGTCGGCGCAGGCCGGGACGCCGTTGATGCGGTTGTAGGAGCACATCACGCAGCTGGCGTCGCCGTCCCGGATGCACATCTCGAACGGCCGCTCGAACGTCTCCACCATGTCGCGCTCCTGGACGCGCGCGTCGAACGTCAGCCGGTCGGTGCCGTTCCACGCGTCGACGTCGTACGCGGCGTAGTGCTTGCAGCAGCTGGACACCTTGATGGGCCTGGAGAACGCGTCGGTGGCGGCGGCGGCGGATGCGGCGGTGGTGGCGCCGTCGATGTCCTGCATTCCGCGGACGAAGTTGACGGCGTACCGGCCGACGACGAAGGGGTCCTCGCCGGGGGTCTCGCTGGCGCGGCCCCACCGCGGGTCGCGGACGACATTGATGTTGGGGCTCCAGTACGTGAGCTCGGCGTGGCCCAGGTTGTACATGGCCCTGATCTCCGTCGACACCACGCCGCCGATGGCGCGCCACAGCGTCTCGTTGAACGACGCGGCGCTGTTGATGACGAGCGGGAAGCTGGTGGCGCCGGGCACGGCGTCGCCAAACCACGTCCCGCCGGGGCCGACGTCGGACACGCCGTGCAGCGCCTCCCCCCACCACAGGTACCGAGGCAGCCCCACGCGCGGCGCGCCGCCCGCGCGGTCGCCGAGGTTGGCCACCTTCTCCTCCAGCGTCATCCGCCCCACGAGGTCCCGCACCCGGTCCGCGTACGGCAGCGACGCGTCGCAGTACGGGAACCCGGCCATGTCCAGCCCCGCCGCCGCGAACCTCGCCGGGTCGCACACCCTGGTGTAGTTCCCGCCATTGGTGGTGATCGGCCCGCTTCCGCCGGACACAGAGGAGACCGAGGCGGAGACGGAGACGGCGAACACGAGAGCGGCCAAGAACCCAAGGCGGCGAGGGGACGACGACGCCGCCATTGCGACGAGACAATGGCGGGCTTGGTTGGTCGTCGGTCCCCTTGCTTTCTTGGGAGTGAACACAAGTGAAACAGTGTACGGTATTTTAGCGGGAAGAGCAAGTTGCAGAGGGTGGGGTGGGGGACTCAAAAAAGGAGACGAGGAATTGAAAGCTGGATAGAGCTGGAGATCTGGCTGTTCATAACGCCGCTATTGAATTGGGGCACATGCGCTGTTCGATTATTTTTCTTGTCTTTTGCTTTCGCATTGACTGCTACGAGCTCGTATTGCCGAACGTGCGCGCGAGGACAGGGAAACTGATCGCGTCACGTTATTTTCGATTCAGGGACATCCGCCGCGATATGTTTGATATGGAGGAAATGCAGGGCGTTTTGGTTGAAAGATGCTTCTCTTCTCTGATCTTTTCCGTTATAGGAGCAGATAAAAAATAAATCTAGCGTCCAAGATCAAACATCTTGATCTGACAAGAGCCCCTGCAGCATTGTGCAATGATTAACTCTCATCGCCATGTAAACCACTTGGAATATGTTGTTAGTCTCAGCTATGGAAAACTACGAGCTAAATCAAAGAATCCACTCATTGTCTTTTAATACGGGTGAAAAAAAAAGCTCTAAGCTCGTGACTCGGATCAGCTCGTAGCGAACTCGGCTCGGATCGAACCAAACTCATAGTCTTGATAGATCTGAACTCATAGTAAGCCAAGCTAGGTATTTAGCTCTTAACAAGCTAGCTCATGAGCTACTCGTTTAGCTCATTAGTACTAGAGATCATCGTATCTTCTTCACATAATTAGAGCTTTTCTCAGCTAGTGATTAGTCTTTTAATTCCACCTAAACTATTTATGTTTAATGAATTCTTCATTAGTTAGTGTTTATTATTAAATTTACATATGTTAAAATAGTCAATTTAAAATTATAAAGGTGGTAAAAATACATTAATGAGCCAACACGCGAGTTCAGATGGGCTAGGTTTTTAGCTCGTTAACCTTAACAAACCGAACCAAACTAACTCATTAAAATAACAAACTCAAACGAGCCAAACTGACTCGTTATCCACCTCTACCTCTTAATGCAATTATAGAATTTCACCACATCACATTTGCTCTCAAGAGCTATGAATTACGCTGTCAATCAATGTAAAAGGAGATGGAACTAAAATATGTTGTGTTAAGGTCCAAGCAAGGTGGAACCCAAATTTATTGATTTTTTTCTCTGATTAACATGAAAAATTCTTAAAATATCTAATTATTGTAAGTAGAGATAATAAATGAACATTTTGAAGTGTTCAATAAACAAGGGCCCAGTGGGAAAGCTCAGCCTCAACATGGATCATGGCCTAATCCTAAACCAGCCCAAATCAACTTCCTGGAAGTGACAATAATAGGCCGAACGTAAGTGGGCCATTATGGGCTATGATTATAGCGAAATTTTTTCGCGAACGCATTATAGCAAAATTTCCCGATATAAAATCCGATAATACTTTTTTTCATCAGATTCGCCAGGATTTTATCAAGAGTTATCATTGCAAATTCGTTCCTCCCGGCGCTGTCAGGGGCACGTAAAATTAGAAAACTTTTAACGGATGATTAATAAAGTTTTAATTACTATAAACTTATAAAAAAGTTATTTGATATTTTAGAGCAACATCTATATATATATATATATATATATATATATATATAATTTTCATGCCAAACATACCATCAGCTTGAAAAGTGTGATAGCAAAAACCGAAATAGACTATACATTTGATCAGAAACGAAAGGGGCCTACAAGCTACTAAACGATCAAACAGTTGGTCGGTCGCTCGTCTCGCTCGGGACCAGGCTAATTACTAAAAGGAAAGAAGGAAGGGATCGAAAGACGACAATAAATGAAACAGAAAGACAGCTCCACATATGTAGTATTGATCAGTTACACTCCAATGATTTATGATGGAATAAACCGATCCGTATATGAACTGTATTGAATCAATCAAAAGCAAAGAGATCTTACGTAGAAATTCGCATTTGGCAGCTGGAGGTTTCGTCGGCTAAGGGTACGTGGTCGTGGGGACACCACTGGGCAGAGGACAAGGGTTTGTCCTCACGGACGGTCATCTTCGTTGGCGCCTCCAAGATATGCAGACAAGATGTACTTCTCACAAATCTTTCCACCTTTTATTATGTGCACGATGGAGATGTACACATGTGCGAGCTCACTCCTGTAATACTATCTCTATTTTTTTTTTGTTGGTTACTAAAGTTATGTAAACAAAAAAAAATAGAGGGAGTACATACCTAATGTACTAAACCCAGAGATAAAATTTGTAGACCTCACAATAATTTTTTTTCGTGAACACTAAACGAGATTTGGAGGGAGAGACGCATCTTCAAATATTTTTTAAGAAGAAATTGTGAGCATGATGAGGATTGGACACAAGACCTCGAGATTTAAATCACACACCCTTGCTACTGCACTATCGAGTGCATCTCAGAACTCACAAAAAAAATTGATTATTATATTTTTTTAGTTCTCAATAAAAAAATTTGATTATTGATTGGGTGAGGAAAAAACATTTGGGTTAAATCGACCGCTGTTTGCAGCTTACTCCCTCTGTATATGTATAATTATATTTCTAGCACTTTTGTCCTAATAAGTGCACATCTAATGTACTATTGTTCTATCAATCGTTTCTTATTTAAAATTATTTCCATCTTACCTCAATCATCCTACAATTCTAATCGTTCCTTATCTAAATAAGTGAAAGGAGTCATTTTTCACAAATTTATTGCGCAACGTCATCCGATAAACATAAACCGTCTGATTACACATATAGATGATATGAGCCACCGGATACTCTTACTAGTAAGATATACCTTCACAATTCTTCAAGAAACTTCTTTTCGCAAAAAGGTACTTCCACATCGCTAGCTTAGAAAAGAAAAGCATTCTCGTGTGTTTGCTGCTTCACGCCGCATCTGCTCAGTGTCACCCCCTTCTCCTTCTCAGTGTAGCTGTCGTTGCCGAATTCAGTGCCTCCGCCTGCTCCACCATTTCTCCCAAGTCGCAGCCTCCCCTCCTTCCTCTTCCTCACCACAGGCATCTCCTCTCCCATGTCATCACTGCCGACTCTTCCCGCTCACCCCGCCGTCGCTGCCACCTCCTCCTACTCCTCCCCGTGACCCATAGGAAGCGGTACCTGCTATCCTTCCCACAAGCGCCTCCTCATTAGAAACACCGGTGCCTTGATCTTCCCCATCCCGACAAGGATAAGGTAGGGCTTCGGTGGCGGCCGTACCTCATGCATAGACAAGGTCTGAACCTCTCCAGTTCTGCTCCTTTCTCTCCTCTCAAACCCCGGCACTAAATCGGCAGTAAGCACCATGGAAAAAGATTCATTTGTGAAAGTTGATTTTAGTGTGATTTTAATTTTTCCGTGCTGTTTGTCACTAAATCGGATGATGGTGGATGTTATTTTAATTTGTATCCATGTTGTTTGTCATTGGTGATTAGGGGTGAAAACGGAGCGGATAGTTTCCGTCCGCTCCGGTCAAAAACGGATACGGATAGTGTTCGGAGCGGATTTTTTTCGGATAGTTCGAATATGGATACGAATACGGATATTTTTTCTCCGGATATAGATACGAATATGGTAACGCAGTTTCCGGCGAATACGAATACGGAGCCGAATATCCGGAGATTAAGATGCGCGGATATCCGCGTAACGCTTGATGTCTCTCCAGCCTCCAGCCCATCCCTTCAATTTCAGCACATAGTTTTCTCTCGGCTATCTAAACCCTAGCTGCCAGATGGGCGACGGCGGCGGCGGCGGCGGTGGTGACGACGGCAGCGGCAAGCCGGCGACAGTGGCGGCGGCTGTCTTAGATCTCCTTGGCTCCTTGCTGGAGTTGCTGGGCATTGGCCTTCAATCCCCCTAGTGCTTGTTTGTGCTTCCTATCTCCCTAAATCGTGGGACAGTGGGAGGCTAGGAGCCGTCACCACCGCCGGCGGCAAGGCCTCTTGCATGCACTAATCTCTTAGGTAATCCATTGATTTGTTCTTCTCCTGTAACCTTTGTTTTGTGCCTTTCATGAGATCGATAAACTGATGTAGATCTTGGATGTGCTTTTTTTTACTTTGTGTCTAGATTGGTGATGGAGTCTGGTAGTGCAAGTAGTGCAAGTGCAGCTGCAAGTACCACTGCATAATCTCCAGTTTTGCAACTCCCAGCACCTCCAAGCCATGCTACGGCAGCTACGCAGGACACTTCTCCTACTGCTGGTGCCTTGGCACACAATGATGCAATTGATTTGACAACCAATGATGATTTTGAGGTTTTACCTCCTCCTGGTAAGAAGCAAAAGAAGTGTAGTTCTGAAGTTTGGCAGCACTACACTAAATATAAGGTAAGCAAGAAAGGGTCAGATGACACTGTGATTGTAGAGGAGTATGTTAAATGCAACAAGTGCTCATATAAACGTCGGTGTGAGAGTAATTGTGGCACTTCTGTTTTCTGGAATCACTTGAATAACAAGCACAACATCAAGTCAGGTCAACAACAACTACAGATGAAAAAGAGTGAAGATGGTACTGAAGGAGCTGTTGAGACATACAGGTATGATGAGACGGTTAGCCTGAAAAAGTTCTATATGGCAATCATCATGCATGAGTATCCCTTTAACATTGTTGAGCATGATTACTTTGTGGATTTTATTAAGTATTTACGCCCTACTTTTCCAATTAAGAGTCGCATTACTGTGAGAAAGGATATTATAAACATATATGAAGAGGAAAAGAAGAAATTGTGGCAGCATTTGCTTACACTCTCATGCCGTTTTAGCACAACCATGGACATGTGGACATCTAACCAAAATAAAAGTTATATGTGCATCACAGTTCATTGGATAGATGACACTTGGAAGATGCAAAAGAGGATCATTAAGTTTATGCATGTAGAAGGACATCATTCAGGAAGTAATATGTGCAAAGAGTTTTATGACAGCATAGTTGATTGGAATCTTGATAGAAGGCTTGTTGGACTTACTTTGGACAATGCATCGTCTAATGATGTTTGTGTTAAGGGTGTTATTTTAAAACTCCGTAAAATCTCTCCTTTAATTTGCGATGGCATCTTCTTTCATGTGAGATGTTTCAATCATATCTTGAAC